ACTCTGCTAGTTACACTCAGGAGTGGCCGCGCCATAGCTCAAGCGGTTAGTCGCTGGCTTCCCACCGCGGCGGCCCGGGTTCAATGTCGGGTCTGGTCAAATGGGATTTGTGGTGAACAAAGTGGCGCTGGGGCAGGTTTTCTCCAAGTACTTTGGTTTCTCCTGCCATTCTGCATTCCACCAACTGCTCCACAGTCACCCTCACCTATCATCTGGGACTGGTACAATAGGCCAGAAGTGGCCGCAGTACAAGGGACTTAGTCCCACCCCACTAGCAGTAAAAAAGAGACACTCAGTACTGATCCAGGCCAGTATGATGACGACACTTAGCAGTACCGTTGAACTTCGGTCGTCGAACATTTGAAGCGTGTTCGATATTCTCCCAAAAGTCGTTATTTTTTTTATGGATGACGGGTATGCTCGAATCTATTAATATGTTAATTTGTAATGGCCATACCCTTGAGCGGAACATGCAGAGTTACCAGATAAAACCAGTGTAATTTGTAATATTCGGGCCAGAGAACTCGGGATGTTATACGTTAGAATTTTGTATCACGTATATTGGAATCAATTAAGCCTGCATACAATTTAGACCCTTGAAGTGCAGATTGAACTTGAAGCAGTCAGTAGCAGGTTTTGTACTCTTTAGCATGAAATATTGGATTGTTATTTCTTCATCCTACACAGCGTTGAAACTCATCACAACTGCCGGTTCATGTTCGGAGTCCATGAAATCAACCGTAAATAACTTAAATTTCAGTGTACATACATACTCGGGGGGACCGGATAACGCAGTCGGTATAGTTCGTTGCTGTATAGTCTGAAGTTCTCAAAATGCCTGGAAATACATCATACTATCACTTTTATTAGTTACTTGTAGACGGGATTTGGATTGGCGAATCCATTTTTTTTGGATACTCACGAGTTGTAACTACAATTAGTTACACACTCAAGATTACTGTAACTATTACACATGAAATAACATCTTCAACATCTGTTAACACTTCAACAATTCAGCTGCTTTCGGAATTCTCTTCGACATCATTGTCACGTCTAGCAAACTGCTGTACATATTATTACTTCGAGAGGACTGAATAGGGACCATTGTTTGTCTTTTAAGAAGTCGCTACCATGGATTTGCCGTTGTCCGAAATCCGTTGGCACGAATAAGCATTTAGCCGACTGTTACCTAGCAATGACCGTCTTTTCTGAATTCTTTATTCCGGCTTTCAGGCGTCATGTCATACTACATAAAAATATATATAAATAAACATATTCACTTACAGAGCCTACTGCGTGTATTTTAATTCGCCGAGAGAAATGTACCGTAGCCAGATTTTCCTTATGTTCAGTGAATCTAACAAATTTCATTCTAACACGTAGTCAGATTTCTAAATAAAGAACAGAAGCGATAAATCTACAAGTATCAGAATTTTGAGTGCCCTGTACTCATGAAGACACACTATACGGACGGATTGACGGTAAGGGAGGAACGAGCAGTATTGCAGGTGTTGGCTCGTGGGAACAGGCCATGAAACCGCTACATCCATCGGAGAGGTCGACTCTGCGTCTTGAATGAAAATTCGGCGCAGTGATCTACCTGTTGCAGTGTCGTGGTGCACTTGGCCTCTACACGTCACACGTGCCGCACTCTAACTGTGGTCAGTGAAGAATAACATCGATGGAATTAATAAGACTTCTGTCTAAGTTTCGCTAGAAGTTGCGTTTATTAATGTTTCTGTGTAATACTCATGAATATTTTTGTTATGTTTGAAAATGTAGGCGTACAGTACTGTTAAGATACGTGTAAATCCAGGCTGGGTGGACCCCATTCCAGACTCACTCATCATCATCAGTAATCTGTCAGACGACAGGTCCACAGTCTCTTCCAAAACAATTCCTCCACTTAATGCGATCTAGAGCTTTCTCCTTCAAATGACAGTATCCTCTTCTGTCCCCAAGGTCATCCAGCATCTTCCTCGTCTTCTTGTCACTTCTATCCGCCCATCTATCTTTCCTTCAATAACTTCTTTTAGAAGGCAGTTTCTGCNATACAGAGCTATGCTCCAAATGTAGCATTTCACTAGTTTCTTCCTCAAATTTAAGTCCAATTTGCTGGTAAAAAGATTCTTCTTGCTAAATGCAGCTTTTGCCATGGCAATCCTGGATTTAATTTCACTAGTACACCTTCCATCATCTGTTAACAAGCTACCCAAATATTTAAAACATTTCACATTCTCCAGTTGTTTTTGGTCTATCTTTATTGTGACTGGGGTTGGTTGTCTCGAAATTTTCATTACTCTTGTTTTTTCCACATTCATTTCCATGCCACAGCACCTTCCAATTTCAATTAGTCTATCAATCATGCCCTGTAGCACAGTTTCTTCCGTAGCCATAAACACAAGGTCGTCTGCATATTTCACCTTCAGAAAATCTGGTAGAGCCGGGAATCGAACTCTAACTTGTAGACCACATAGGCAGTTGTTAAGATGGGAATAACAACGAAATGAATGTGATTTCTAGCATGAAAACGTATACATTTTCTCCCAGCTGGATTGCAGCCCAAGAACTTGCAAGACGCAATAATACACGTATTTGTAATTGTGGTCCGAATGCGTAGGAAGACTGTTGCCAGTCATAAACTGTAGTTACAGGACCAGGGATACTTGGCGCAGGCTAATAATAGGTAGTCTGGTTTTGACAGCGGGCATTCCGTCAATCAGGTGTACGGTATCATCTCGGTGTATCGCTGGGATTTCGGTCCATTTGTCATGTTCATCTGATTTTCAGATTTATTTATCCCGAGCAGGGTCTTTTGAGGAGCTATTTCAGGGAAATAGCGGCTCCGGTCTAGAAAACCGAAATTAACCGCCGTGGGGATTCGTTGCGCTGGCCACGCGACACACACTATCCGCTAAGGTTGGCACTAACTTCGCCGGTAAGCGGCGGTCGCTCGGTCGGTATAGTTCGCTTGCGGACTCAAACCACGGAGTTTAGTTTTAGTTTTTTTTTAGAGCAGTGATTCTTGGTCCGGTCGGAGATACGTTGCGTATCCTCATCAGCGTGTATACTGTAGACTCGTTAAACAGCCTACCTCACATTAAGTCTCTCACACAAAATTACTATGAATTATTAAACATTTGAAGCATGAAATTTATGTAAATGGTATTTAGAAATCCACTTCCTACATGACGGGAAACACATTGCATTTCTATTGCAACGGCCGATCGAGTGATGTTGTTAAGGGTATAATCCCTCTTTGTACTTAGAACCATACCTAACACATACACTGTAAAACTCCGTGAACGTAATGCAGAGTTTAATGTTATAGCACGTGACACACAGACCTTTAGTAACCACGTGCTTGAAAAGTTTAATACATAAAACATAAATACGAGGTTAGAATCAGTATGAACTGACGTCACAATTATTTATGAGCCTTTTGCAAGAACTCTTCCTTACTAAATTACAGTAATATCGAATATTAATGACATCTACTTTTTAATATTTAGGACCACTTTCATTTTCCGAGTGCAGAGACCATGAAAACTGCATTCTGTGGTTGACGAGTGCGGTCAGACTTGATCTTACGTGTAAAATGAATATTATATGTTACCGGATTTATAAGCACACGAGAAACTGGTTTCTAGTCAATTAGACCTCTTTCCTGTGAAGTATATTTTTATTTTTTGACCAATTTTAGTTTCCGGAAGATTTTCTCAAACCATGTCACAGTAAGAAACCAAAAATGCATTCATATGAATAGTTATTACGCGAAGGAACTTCATGTAATGAAGCGCGTTTTTTTCTCAGATATATCTGTAACAAATGTTTTTCACTTAACCATGACTTCCACATGAATTCAGTTGAACCACTTGCTGACAGTTATGCGCGCGGGAGTGTATTTATCCAACTGTGGTCAGTTTTAAAGAGATCAAAACACTTTTTCCTGATCAAATTGTACAACTAGCAGGAGATGCGAAATGCGAGATCTTAATACAGTAGCGCGATGAGCAAGGAGATTATAATCTGTTGGAAGAATGCCGTTTTCTTGGATGTGGCGCTGTGTATATCTTGTGTGAAGCGGCGTTTCAGAGGTACGTATCGCCTCCATCTTCAGGGTACAAAAATCCACGGGCGAGGAACCAGCGTGAGCAGGTGGCTGCATAATGTTGTTACAGAGCTAGGTGTTTTTCGACTGGTGACTCAGTCTGCAGCCACCTGCTCAAGCTGGTTCCTCGCTCGCATATTTTTCTGCCTTGAAGATAGAGGTGATACGTTCCTCCAAAACGTCGGTTAAGACAAGATCTACACGGCGCCACATCCCAGAAGACTGCATTCTTCATAGTCACCGCCGTGAAAACCTCAGATCTTACATGAAATCTGTTTGTCGCGCTTAATGAAATTAAGTTCCTATGTACTATGCAGCAGACGTGGAACTTGAGTAGAATGCGCAGTTATAATTACCGAGATATGAGTTTAGCGTTTCTGCTTCAAGCATTGACGGCACCGATCTTTAAACAGATACATATTAATTGTAATTTCCTATACGTGATATGCCATGATTTAAAACAGTAATTTAAATAGCCTATCGTCTGTATTCCATGTTGCTTGAGTCCCGAGAATAAACATGTCAACTTAGCTTGCCCTTAATGTTATACTTTTTAACACTTTTCTGTGGTAGCATATTCGAATATTCACAAATTTCTCAAAATTAGTGTGCTTTCGTAATACAGCGCTCTAAGCTGCCGCAGTGGCCCCGTAGTGTTTCTGACTCGCTTTTCTAGTCTGCATATGACCATGGATGTATGTATGAAGTATCTTCTGCGATGCATTTTCCTAAAGCGGTGGACAGAGCCCTTAATGCCAACAAGTTCTCATCTTTCCGCTGATTAACCGTGAATTCGGATAAGCCAGAGAGTCAAACATGTGAAACAAAATAAGCATGTCTTGACAACAGTTTTCATTATTTAATTAAAGATTGCCTTTTTTGTTTTCAGATGGTTCAAGCTATTCAAGTGCTTCGGTTTCATCTTTTAGAATTGGAGAAGGTAAGAATAATTTACTTACAACTATTCTAAAATTTCGTTATTTAGACTCCATTTCACTAATCTGAAGAAGGCTATTCTACTGAACACCACCTCCATGATGATGATGATGATAATAATAAAACAACAAATTTTAGACGCATTAACATTCTTAAAATAAATATGATTGACTAACGGTAAAGGTAAAGCTATCCCTGTAACAAGCCATGGAGGCCCATAGGGTTGTGAGACGTCGAGGCTCCCACATTTTCTTTAGACCGTCGGCTCACAGATGGCGGTAAGGTTGTCAGCCGCCCTTTACCCCCAGGAAAATTATTGGTAGGTACTCATTTCTGTTAGAAGCTGAGTAGATCCCAGGACCGTATTACCGCTGGAAGAATTAGGCCAATTGAAAAACCCATTGACTTCATCGGGAATCGAATCCGCGACCTTCTGGCTTGTAGCATAGCGCCTCAACCAACTACGCTACGGTGGGCCCCCGATTGACTGAAATTAGAAATGTATTTCAATAGCTGATGTAGATGTACAGAGAATATGATTCAGTGTAGGCCGGTATACAGTACTGCACTATTATTATTAGAGGGGGTGGGTTTCCCCATGCACTTAGACCAGTTATTGGTCCATTGTGCGTCCCCCTTTAATTTCTACTGTCGCCATACCCTACCGGTACTGGTGCGTGCTATCAGCCCCGTTCAACCAAAGAGGTCGGCCGTCGGTACCCGATATTTCCCCCCTCTACCAGAGGCGTTGGAAACTACTTGGGCGGGAAACTGTTGCCTAATTTTGCTCAGAGGTCTCCTAGAGACATGAGGATCTTTTACGTGCCGTAAATCTACGACACGGGACCCACGGCTTAAAGTCCCTCACGGAGGCCTTGTTCCCTGAATTTTTCCGCCCTTAAAAATTCCACGACCTCCGCCGGGTTTGAACCCGCGTACCTTGAGTCATGAGGCGGGAACGTTACCCCTAGACTACGGAGGCCGCTTACAGTACTGCATTGTTTGACCCTAAAGGAAAAGCAATACATATGTAAAGACAGTTAATAGAGCCCCAGAGAGCGATCTGGATGCTGTCCGGGAATTAAGTTAGCCCGAGTTACGGTTGTAAGTATGCAAATTCCGTTTAGAACTACATTCGACGTTGCGAGTTATCCAAAAGTGGAACTGTTACGCTCTGTGCAGAGAGGACGGTGTTGCAGACTAGACTGCATTACACACAACACTGCAATCCACTTTTTTTACNTGATAATAATAAAACAACAAATTTTAGACGCATTAACATTCTTAAAATAAATATGATGGAATAACGGTAAAGGTAAAGCTATCCCTGTAACAAGCCATGGAGGCCCATAGGNTCGAGGCTCCCACATTTTCTTTAGACCGTCGGCTCACAGATGGCGGTAAGGTTGTCAGCCGCCCTTTACCCCCAGGAAAATTATTGGTAGGTACTCATTTCTGTTAGAAGCTGAGTAGATCCCAGGACCGTATTACCGCTGGAAGAATTAGGCCAATTGAAAAACCCATTGACTTCATCGGGAATCGAATCCGCGACCTTCTGGCTTGTAGCATAGCGCCTCAACCAACTACGCTACGGTGGGCCCCCGATTGACTGAAATTAGAAATGTATTTCAATAGCTGATGTAGATGTACAGAGAATATGATTCAGTGTAGGCCGGTATACAGTACTGCACTATTATTATTAGAGGGGGTGGGTTTCCCCATGCACTTAGACCAGTTATTGGTCCATTGTGCGTCCCCCTTTAATTTCTACTGTCGCCATACCCTACCGGTACTGGTGCGTGCTATCAGCCCCGTTCAACCAAAGAGGTCGGCCGTCGGTACCCGATATTTCCCCCCTCTACCAGAGGCGTTGGAAACTACTTGGGCGGGAAACTGTTGCCTAATTTTGCTCAGAGGTCTCCTAGAGACATGAGGATCTTTTACGTGCCGTAAATCTACGACACGGGACCCACGGCTTAAAGTCCCTCACGGAGGCCTTGTTCCCTGAATTTTTCCGCCCTTAAAAATTCCACGACCTCCGCCGGGTTTGAACCCGCGTACCTTGAGTCATGAGGCGGGAACGTTACCCCTAGACTACGGAGGCCGCTTACAGTACTGCATTGTTTGACCCTAAAGGAAAAGCAATACATATGTAAAGACAGTTAATAGAGCCCCAGAGAGCGATCTGGATGCTGTCCGGGAATTAAGTTAGCCCGAGTTACGGTTGTAAGTATGCAAATTCCGTTTAGAACTACATTCGACGTTGCGAGTTATCCAAAAGTGGAACTGTTACGCTCTGTGCAGAGAGGACGGTGTTGCAGACTAGACTGCATTACACACAACACTGCAATCCACTTTTTTTCATTACATCGCGGTAACTAAATTAATGCTGTTTGGATGTGACGCCACAGAGAGGGTTTTTCCCCGTCCTTCTCTGCAGACACATACAGCGAAACATTATACGTAATTGCAACCCGATAGGCATAGCGGGTCCCTGCAGGGTATCGGTTACAAGTACTGTATGTAACGTTAGGCTGGCCGCATCCTAATTAGGCTGGTTGTAGTGGGCAGGGGGTGGTGAGGCGCCCTCTGGCAGTGGTTCGCAACTTTCATATTATACTGCACTTGCGGCTGGTGGAGACTGAATAACAAACGCCTTTATTGTGTCCAATACTGGAGTGGTTCCGAAACTCATGAATCATGTGTACATTTTTGTTAATCCCCTACCGCCCTCTGCCCCTATACCTACCCCACAGCACGGCTCTTTTAGTGTGTCGTATGAAATTGCTTGTTGGTTTGTCAGGAATTTCGGGTTGGGGATTTTTGTGGACGGTTTATTTTACAGCATAAGTTCTACTGTTACAGTAGGGTTGAAATTTATGTTCCCGAACATTACACGGAACCTCCTATCGGCTGCTTGTAGGCCTAACTTCTTACGAAGTATAAAATTGTGTTGCTATGAACTTGACAGATTGTCATTGTGCATGATCTGAGATTTTCACGGCGGTGACTATGAAGAAGGCCTTCTTCTGGGATGTGGCGCCGTGTATGTCTTGTGTGAACCAATGTTTCGAAGGAACATATCGCCTCCATCATCAAGGTAGAAAAATCCGCAAGCGAGGAACCAGCGTGAGCAACGGCCACCTGCTCACGCTGGTTCCTCGCCCGCGGATTTTTCTACGCTGAAGATAGAGGTGATACGTTCCTCCGAAACGTCGGTTCACACAAGATATACACGGCGACACATCCCAGAAGACGGGATTCTTATATTGTCATTCGTCTCGTTTAAATTGTATAGCCCTGTTATATTTTCTCATGAAATTAATCCTGTTTACCATTGGCAATGATTTGAAACTTAATATGATCAAATAGCAAGTAGTCAAGGCTAATTAAAACTTCGGCTAGGCATTTGGTGATTTCAGTGGTTAAAAAGGAACCATCAAAATTATCAGACATGGTTTAAAGTTATGGTCTTGGTAGGGTCGCGCCGTAGCTCAAGCGGTTAGTCATTGGCTTCCCACCGCGGCGGCCCGGGTTCGATCCCGGGTCTGGTCAAATGGGATTTCTGGTGGACAAAGTGGCACTGAGGCAGGTTTTCTCCGAGTACTTAGGTTTCCCCTGACAATCTTCATTCCACCAATTGCTCCACAATCACCCTCACCTATCATCTGGAGCTGGTACAATAGGCCAGAAGTGGCCGCAGTACAAGGGACTTAGTCCCACTCCACTAGCAATAAAAAAAAAGGCCTTCGTTTAAAGATCGCCGTTAAGTTTCGGATTACATTAAATAAAAAGTTGCCTTTATTTTTCTGTCAAATAAAGTACACAGTACTTCTGTGTGCACTTGAATCCCATAATAGTCCTACATATAGGAGACATCCGGATCAAATTATGCAAAATGTTTCCAGTTCTGACTAAGGGTTTTATTTAGGTTTTTATGACTTCCTGGCATTTTTCCTAGCATGGGCCTTTGTTCATGTAACTTCAACATTCATAGCCGATCTCCACGTCTTATTCGACGGTACCGGTTTGAAGCAAATTGACAGAAACAACCTGCATGTGTGATGTTGGACGTCACATTGGCCGAGCATTTTTCCTTCCGATGTGGGCTACACAGATGATATGATAATCTATATGCTAAGGTGTAAATTGAGCTGAAAGACTTTCAATTGGCTACGAAACTCGTCTGTGTTTTTCCAAGACTCAGATTCAAGTGTGCCACTGTTAATGCCAAGGAGTTGACACCTGTCGTTTGCTTGTCTGCCTGATGAGCAGCGACTTAGCTGGACTTTACATTGACGAATGCTGTCAGCTGTAACACGTCATAGAATGGCGGTCAGGCCAAGTGCTACTAATATGAATTGGATCTAACTAACTCGAGACAGTAGAAACCTTTTTGATAATGTGATAGTGTTTCAACTACTCAAGAAATGTTTCCGGAACCCGAAGGTTCATTATCGTGTGAATGAAACAGCCCGTCAGTGACCACTATCACGAGCGAGATCTGTCCTTGCCTCACCCATCACCACATTAACAATTTTTTAATATTGCCCCCTCATGTCTGGGCCCAGTCTTTGAAGAGATGGCTTTTATTCAAGTGTCGATATAATAATTTGTACAGCCATACGCGCTACATTGGATCAGTAAACTGAGTTCAAGGGATGTAAGAGAAATTTTATGATCCCGTGCGTCTAGTAGAAAGGTGCCGACGTTTTCGAGGAATCAGATGTCAACGCCTTCCACCCTCTGAAACTTTGATATGCCCACCTAACGCTCTACAAGCATCACTACAAAGATTACAGCAATCCTTATATATACACGGCTGTGAGAATGTCTGATCTCACTTTCAGATTTTCTTTGTCTTAGTATCTGGTCACTTCGAAAGACTTACAACCCACTATTCGTGTCTAGTAGTAGTGTGTCCTCTATAATTGTTGCCTGTGGTTCTGTATGGGTGTGAAACTTGGTCTTTGACATTAAGGTAGGAACATAGACTGAAGGTAT